CCTCCGACGATACACAATCAACCGATGATAATGAACGTCAACCAAGTTCAGAGGCAAACGATGAATTCATTACTGCGCAGCGTTCAGATAGCAGTGATGAATCATGTTGCCTCAGAGTTGCTCGGGATTGCGAGATTCCGTTTGTTGTTGAAGCGACATTTAGTTCACGGACGAGTTGTCATATTGAAACATTCATCATCAATATCACCGTAACCTGTAAAGAGAAATCACGGGTTTGTTGTTGATTTTGAGTTTTTTTTTGAAAATTATTCTTATGGCTCCGTTAATGCTCATTAAGAACGCCCATTAATTGTAGTTGTGCAAACAGTTCAGTTAAGAAATTCTTTTTCAAGCAGCTCTCTATTTTAATTGCGATGATGAATGATGATTAGAAGAATAAAAGAAAATTAAGTTTATTCGCAAAGTCGGCAAGGTATTTGTTCGAAAACCTGCTTAAAGCTGATTGAGTATTTACTCATGATTTATGAAAGGTGTTATTTTTTAGATGCTTCGTTCATGGTCTGAAACAATTAAGTCTGAAGAAGAAAATCATTTCAAAACGACAATACCTTTTCTTCCTCAGCAGGTTCATTTTTATTCATTGTTCTGTTATTTAAAATGTATTCATTTCTTGAAAGCAATTATTGAACTGGACAATTGAAGTGTTTAAGTAACTTTTCCAATGAGGATTTTGCTAGTTATCAAATGAACAGCAAAGTGGTGGAGCGTTGTAGACGGGAGGGTATTAATGAGTAAGTTTTAGGCATAATATCAGTTGTGAGTTGGATGATTAGTGTGTTGCACTCTCCAGTTCTCCTTAAAAGAAAAATCATCAGAAAATTTTTCGTAATACCTGGGGGATTTATTTCCGTATCGGTTTCCGCGAAGCAAAGTCACTTGCAGCTGAATTCCTCATTATCCTTTTCATTTCGCATCACCATTCCATTCCATTTGCACCATACAATCTTGAATGTAACAGATAGACATTTGCACCAAAATTAGATTATTTTCCCTTTATTTTGCCAGTCAGTAGTTTAAACAAAACGGTGAAATATTCCATTAGAGAAAATGATGGACGTTAACTATTTTTAAAAGTAATGACATAATTATCACGCTATTGTTTATTTATTTTTGGTCGATGTTTTTCTATCTTTAAATCCTTCCTTTTCCTCCGTAGAATAAAAGAGATAACAAATTTTCGTTGTTATTATTTATTGTAATATTGAATTCATTGTAAGATTGAAAATTCCTTATAATGTTGAAGGATTGCACGATTAATTTCACTGTTGATTTTGTCGATAAAACTCGAAGACGGTGGAGGTGTCATTCACATGCTGAAGTCAAGATTCTTTTGAGAGATGACGAATGTTAAGGGCGGAACAGAACTGAGACGTCCAACACTCGTTTATACTTCTGAATATATGTCCTAAAATTTATAATTGATAATTATGATAATTATGATATTATCGGTGATTGATAATTCGTTGAGTTTCTCGTTTCGTCAGTTTCTAAACCCAGTTAAATACCTCAATTATTTCTTATTGACTGCTGTACTTCAATCATCGGTATCATTGAATATATTGTGAACATTTATATCGACGTGTACACTCAAAACAGTGGGTTACGTTGATGACGCCGAAAATTGACATCACATTGTTTGAGCTTTCGAGTCGATTATATCGACCGAAGAAAATATTTTGATGACTTTTTTGATTCTTAAATAATCGATCTCTATTGTTGCTACATCTCTTCGAACACTCATATTACTTGTTCCTTCACCCTCTATTAATATCTGTCACAAAGAATCTAGGGTTGAAGCCTGTCTTCATCATTTACGTCGGAAGTGTTTCCTAACTTATTCAATTCCACCAGTCAATACGCATAATTTATGGAAACGGGTCAGGTTCTCGGAATTTATTCGATAAATATCATTGATAATATGGGAAATTTTTTGCGAATTTGACTTGTTTTTCTTTTAATGATGTTCCCTTCTTCAGCGATTTTATTGTTAGTACTTAGTTGGATTTATCAAAAAACTAATTTTGTCGTATTAGTTGAATCTGCATGATTATTAAATTTTCTTCAAAAAGACTTACCGTTTGATTGTTATCCCATATGCATTTTTTCGTATTATATATATATATATATATATATA